TAAATGTTGCCATTCACCATGCACTAATGGTGAATGTTGAACATGTTGGAGATTTATATTTTCTTCTCCGTAATTCAGTCGCTATAAAACGCCACAAGGGTGACGTAACTTTTTCGCCTCTCTTTCTGAAAGGAATGACCAAGAATTTAAAATACACGGTACATTCTACATGAGAAAAGAAAATAATAGTAATAAAAAAATTACTTACTTATGCGATTCAAATCTTATTTATTGCAACAACTTAAACTATTATGACACTTTGAATCGCACAAGAGTCCCTTGCTTTTACAACTGCATTTATTTGTGGAACACTTCCTTTTGCAATGACAGGTTTTGGACCTCCACCAGAGCATATGTGTGATTGTCGACACATATCGGAGAGTGTCCGAATGTACAACAATGTAATGAAATATTCGATCTTTCACCGACGTATTTGGTATTTGTTGACATTCACCGGTGAAAGTCGACATTCTCCAATTTCGGTCATTCACGGTAACATATATATACACTATTCATCATACAAATGAGTAATGATTTAATCAATCACTGTAACTAAATACGTGTGTAATTGTTTGATTATCCGAACAGTCATGTCTTCTCAATCAATTTCAATTCAGGTTGAATAACCGAGATTCTACTATGTCACCTCAAAACAGTAAGATTCCAAAGAGGGTTTCGTACCCGATATATTATAAAAATGAGTCTAACGAAGGAGATTATGTACAATTTCATCACTTCGGAGAGGATTTACAATTACTATTCGATGAGAAATTAAGTCTAACGAATAAAGAATTTAGAATTTATTTATTTCAAGGAGGATTTTGATACTGAATGAAAACATGAATTTAGCGAACGAGGAATGTAGAATTTGATGGTTTCGTGAAGGATTTGACAGTCAATGAGGAAATAAGTTTAACGAATGAGGAATGAGAATTTGGTAATTTCGAAGAGTATTCGGTACTGCATAAGAAAATGAGTCTAATGAATGAGGTTATGTAGAATTTGGTCTCACTTCGAAGAGAACTCACAATTAGTACTTGATGAGAAATTGAGACTAACGAATAAAGAATGTACAGGGTGTCCCATAATTATGTTAACACCCGAAAAGGGGTAATTTCTGAGGTAATTTTAAATAACTTTTTCCTTAGCGAAAATGCAATCCGCGGCGAGAAACACTGATCAATGAGAGGTGAGTCTCGCACCAGCCGAGCTCACCTCTCATTGGTGAGTGTTTTTCGTCAATAACTCGTAAACTTAGCCGCGGATTGCATTTTCGCTAAGGAAAAAATTACTTCAAATTACCTCAAGGATCACGCCTTTCCGGCTGTTAACATAATCATGGAACACCTTGTAGAATTTGTTCATTTCGAGGAGGATTTGATACTGGATGAAGAAATGAATCTAACCGATGAGGAATGTAGAATTTGGTGATTTCGCGGAGGATTTGACGTTCAATAAGGAAATAAGTTTAACAAATGAGGAATGTAGAATTTGATGAACTATATTTGGGCAACTACAAAAATGAGCCGCGAGGCACGAATAATCGTATTTCCTCTTCCCAAATTGTTCATTTTTGTTTAAAAGTTGATGAAAAATTAGGAATAATTGACTGTGCTCAGTATTGGATAAGAAAATGAATGTAACGAATGAAGGATGTAGAATTAGGTCGTTTCGAAGAGGACTTGTTACTCGATGAGAAAATTAGTCTAACGAATGAGGAATATAGAATGCGGACATCTCGAGGAGGACTTGTTATTCGATGAGGAAAGGAGCCTAGCGAATGAGGAAAGTAGAATTTGGTCACGTAGATCTTGTTTTCGTGCAACAGCCTCGTGCCTGGTCGCCGTCGGTGGCAGCGACACCATTGCCAAGCAATAACACCCAACCACCCTCTCTCTTTTACCAGAGTACCGTCTGTCATAACTAACTAGAGCACGTATTGTACGCTTCTCTTATTTATGCACAGTTTTCCTGGTTTCTCCCGGCTTCGTATGCACACGGGGGGAGGGTCGCCAGTGGCCTTTGTCGAATATCAAGACGTTCGCTTCGCGGCCCAGGCGATGGCCACTCTCCAAGGATCCTTACTCCTCTCCTCCGACCGGGGAGCAATACGAATCGAATATGCAAAGTCAAAAATGGCCGAGGTGGGCTTTACAAATCTCTGGATCGAAGTAGGTTTCATTTTATGCTACGCTAGCCGCTACCTACGCGCGACCATACGACGACGAAAACGCAACACCTGCCTTTCGTTCATGTCTCGTCATGTCATATGCCACGATCATACCTCGACTCTGCCCGATACGTTTCGACCTGCAGTGACCGACACACGGCTTCACCGATTCTAACGTTTAATCAATATCTCGCCCCCTTGTCCTTTTGTCCTTTCTCTTTTCAGTAGTTCTATTGTTTCGATTTATCAGCGGGGTGACTGTACGAAATGTTTCATTCTAGGATAGTGGGGTCGGTTGCTACGAGGTGACCAATTGTTGGGCCTTCGGTTTGTTTCCCGGCGTAATCGATTTTATATTTATCGAGCGAGACGTGTCAAGTTTTTTAATTTAAAAATAGACAAAAGAATAAAAAAACTTAATACGTCGAATTGTATAAAGTTAAATATAAATTATATAATACGTCGCTAAATATAAAGTTTATTATGCTTGAGAACAAACCATAGGCACAGCAATTGGTCACCCCATAGCAATCGAGTTCACTATCCTATTATCGAAAGATGCCATTTTTCGAGTGTTAACACTTTGGCTGCCGCGCCAGCAGCCGAAAAAATTTCAGAATTTTATTAAACATTTCATTGCATCAAATTAAAATTTGAAACTGAAAGTGCACGGCGTTAATTGCTTTTTCCATATTCTTGCATTTTACGGAACCTAATAAAATTCGAAAGATAAAAAATTGATTTTCAAATTTGAGCAAATAATTCCGCCATCCACACACGGATGTCGAGGCAAGTCAAAGTGTTGAAAATAATATACAGACGATTTTTGTTAACTCTATGGAGAGACGTCTTATAATGTGCAAATGAAAAGAATTCGGCGTTACGTCATCATGGAAGATTATTTTAATTTTATGTACGGAATAATAATTATTTTGCGTTACATTAACCAAAATAATCTGTCGATCTTTATTCCATATAAATATTTGTTGTGTTAAATACAGCAGATAGGAGTTAGAGAAAATTTTACTTCTTCTCGTAGTAATTTGTATTAGTTTAAAATAATATGTACGTTTTATACATCTTTTTACACATCATTAAGTGACATTTTATACATTTCTATGCACAAAATATTATTCTAAGAATCGTTTATCTCGATCGCTCTGGTTTTTATAAATCCGTTTTTGAATGAGAAAATCAAATATCTAAATCTAAGAGCTTTTTCTGCAAACTATAGAAGTGTTTCTTGTACAGAACGAACTTATACTCTCTCAAATATAACATTATATTTTTCAGTACTACTGTACATATTGAAAGAAGTTTAAACAATATCTGAAGCGTCAGTGTCAATAACTTTGACACTGCTGAAGCACAGATTTTCTTGGATATTTTTTAGTTTTACTTTGAATAAAAAAGAAGTGCTTTCTCAATTTATTGTGAAGGATGAGAGGCTAAAGCAAGATCTAACTACACTGTAAGATAGAGTGGATGTATAATAAGAGTATTCCTATTTATAATATTAAATTTAATACAGAGATAAACTTATAAATAAAAATTATGTTTTTAATTGTAAGCAAAACTAAAAGAGCTCAAGATAAAGTGAAAATATTCCAATAAATTCGAGCGTTCATGCTTCAAACATTGTTTTAATATGTTCATATATATGTACGTAATGTTATTAAAAGAAAACATATCGTTGTATTTGAGAAAGTCTACAAAATCGATTCATAGAAGAAACATTTGTGTAACCTCTGCAATCGAAACATAAGTTAAAAATCATTGTTCACTGCAGTCGACATAGGAAATTTTGGAAAACACATGAAGCACAGGTGATGAATTTGTGAAAGGCTAATTGAACACGCGTACCCTCTATTCCATTAAAAAAAAAATTGAAGTTATCCTTTGTTGCTATTCTATGCTCGAAGTTACCCTGAATTATTTTCGTGCACACATTATATGAAACTCCCCTTCGTACAATGAAGTCTATAAAAAAAACACCGGTTCGTAAACACGGGAACACGTACGATGAAACACTCTGTACACGAACAACCGTTTAATTGGAAAGTGGTGTAAATCAAAAAGTTAATTACCGTTTAACGAGGTATAAAACAAAAGTTTCGAAAAATATGATAATACCGTAGAATGTTCAATTCCTTTTATGTAAGCCACTGTGAAGTTAAAACTTTAAAAGGCAATGCCGACTTTCAGGATGAAAATAGGCAAGCAATTCTGTTGCACCAATTTTGCTTTCAACGGCCCATACGTAAAAAAGAAAAGATAATTACTAATTTATCAAAATTCTTACCGGCTATCAAAGATAATTTCGTTATATTAAATCCATAAAACGAAATTTCCAATAAAGTCTTGCAAGCATCTAAAATCAGAGGACTGCGTTTTCGTCGTCAGATACAGTGGACGAGGGGAGCTGGTCAGAATGGCCCTGAGAAGACTCGGAATTCTATCAACACCGTTCTTACCCCTATTTCTCGATAAATAAATAAGTAAATAAATAAACGAGTAAATAAGCATTCATTAATTCATTCTCAGTCGATAAACAACGCTGGATTTACAGATTAGAATTTAGCTGTGAAATTCCGCAAGTAAACTATGCGATATTCCTGGAATGTGATAAACTCGGTCTCGATCATCCACTTCGACCGATATCAGGACTCAGGGACGTTCCCCGTGTCATCTGACTGGCCCCAGGGACATTTTCTCCAGCTTCCTAACAGAATAGTGGCCTCAGCAGGATTTGCAGCCAATTACTTCGATTTCAATTCCAGTATCGGTGATCGCGGAACACGTCGGATCGAAGTTCGATCGGAGGCTTCACCGAAGCTGGGTCCACTAGCTTCGACAATTGCCAATTATCTGTCGCTAATCGCCTATTATGGATCGCGCCAGTCGATCTAATACTTTCTCTTGTTCTTTCTCCGTCTTTCTTTCCTTGTTTTTCTTTCGCGAGGGACACGCGCGTGCGACCGGTCAGGCGTACGAGCTAATTCGATCTCCGCCACGGCGATTCGTTTGTTCGTTTCTTCGTTGTTCCTTCGTTCCTTGGTTTCTTCTCTGCTTTTTCGTTCCTTTGACCCCGATTTTTTGTTCACGAATGCTCCGCCGCGCGTCGTCCAAGTTGATCCAACCACCATTTGCCAGCATCGAAGTCTACGCCAGTTACTTCCCTCCACTATCTCGTTCAGTTTCAGCTCGTTTCCTTTTGCTTCCGCTGCAGTTTGCGCCGCAGCTTCTGTCATACGTTCGCCCTGTTCCTTTCTTTCTCGCTGTACGCCTATCCACCCATCTTCCCGTGTCGGCCCGTCCTTCTTCTTTTCTATCTTAGCTCTGCCCTGGACGCAACCCTTTGATGTGTGCATTTGATTCGAGCACCCTTGCACCGGCACCGAACCCGTATATACCGTTGCCAATCAGTTCTCGGGGGAATGTCGGCCAATGGCGACGCGCTTCCAACAAATCGGTCAGATAGGTAAACTTTCTTTCTTTCAACGCACGGCGACGAGTTACCTCGGTGACATCGATATTTTTGAACGCAACTGAAAGCAACGTTTTTATTTATCGTATGGGTTACAAAACTAGTTTATCAATTACAGTGTAAAACTAGGGTGGCATTTGTTTCCGACTTTCGAATTCTTTTTGTGACACCCTCCAGAATGATTCTAATTAATAAAAACGAAGTCTGTACAAAATCTGTGCTCCATCGGGTAACAGGAAAATGTGCCCCTGAACCCTTAAACATTATAATAATTGATCCTTATTTATTATAATAATTAATGCTATTGTTGTAATAATAGATGCTCGTGAAATTGATATTCGCATTGACTGGGAATAAACTGAAGTCAAAAATGAAATTTAAGGTGCAATTTAAATTATCCTTATACAAATTGCTTGTTGCAATTATTAATTAACAGATTATTTTTCTATTAATTGAAATCATTCTGAAGGGTGCCAAAAAGGAATTTTGGAAAACATTTTCGTCAAAAGTAAATAAGAGCCATCCTAGTGTAACATGTTCTAGGTTAACATACATGTTGGTTTCATTTATTTGTTTTTAATTATTAAAGCGATAAGAACCTACACAGAGTGAGACACTTAACACGAGACACATGAATAAGACGGCTGTTGTTATTGATAGGTGGAAATGCATTGGATCACGTTTACGTGGTGTCAAAAAGTACAAATGTCAATACTTTCTATATTATTATAGAAAAAAATATAAGAAACAGGAGAAATAAACAGTGTTTAACTTGAATCTATACAAATGCTATTGAGCAGATTTTATTTTAAATAAAAATTGGCAGTCTTATTATTATATCTTGTATATTTTAGTAGAAAATAACATAGAAAGCTAAAAATAGTCCCACGTTTTATTACAACACATTAAAATACATGTAGAAAAAACAAGATTAAAACCACAGTTTTTTTCAAAGTTTCTGTCATAATTGACAAAATTTTCCACAAGTTTCAACAGATAACAAAGACTATCTAAGTTATTGTTAATAATACCAACTCTATCGAACAAAAACAATAATACGATCTAATAATATGTTTTCCAATGAACATGAAACAGTATAATTCGTGATAACGGTAACGAAAAGCTGACTCTGCAATGTCACTAGAATTTGAACGTGTAGTACCAACGATTTTCAACCTTTTCTAGAATATGCTATGCTAAGACTGATTTAACAATCCGATGGGCCGGAATTCATAGTACCACCGAGCACAGAATGATTCTACGTAAAAAAAATAAGCAACAAATTTGGTATATCATTCTTTTATTCGGGACTCAGTTTTCGAGAAGATCGACTTGAAAGTTTCTTCGTCTTTGTAAAGGATTTAATTGTCGTCTATTCTTCTGCCGCAGTTGCCTCCGTCCAAGATAATGTTAATAAACATTAATTGTTGTGAACTATATGTATACTGTCACAGAAGACATACCGTTGCACAGAACAAGTCCGCTAAGAAAAGTAGGACCGATTCCCCATGTTA